TTTTATTATGCAAAATATTCTACGTATTTCCTATATTAACTTTATACATTATTTAAATACGTTCCCCAATGCTTCAAATGTTTGACATCTTCATACGTCGTTAATAATGATCGTCGTTAATAACGATGGTGTACGAATCGTAATTATTATTTATCACGATTCCCTCCGGTTGACACATTTCGATGTAATTTGTTTATCCAATATCCGTTACTCGATACAATTTAATCTTTTTTTATCTTCCACTATCGCGAACGTTATTTTCCATTGATCCAGTTTAGTTGCAATACTTTCAAACAATAAATCAATTAGAAAATTTACAATCGTCACAAATATTTTCATTTTCTCTCTGTTTGTTAAGATTTAATTTCTCCTCTTCCGTTCTACATTTATTCGATAAACGATCTATTGTACAAATACAATTAATAAATACCAAAATGACAACATCGATATTGAAGAACCTATCAAAACACGCGTTCGTTTCGACTATTGTTTTACGTTTCATTATCGGCAACGCGAGTTCGACAGGTCTCAAGTTGAAATTGGTCATATTAAAAGCATATTAACGACGGATATTCACGAGTCTGGTGATTTTTTAAATTGAGAAAACCGTCTGCTAGGTGAAACCGGCGATATGGAAATTCGTGTTTACATAATCTCCATGTATCGAAGGAATATTCGTGTGTCCAAAATACAAATATAGAAGCTGGTAGCTCTGTAGCGTGCTATTTATAACTTGGATTAAACACGATAGTCCGTGAACCGAGCGAAATATCGAAGGCGAGCATGATTTTTTCCCAATACCTTTTGGAAAATTATCACATACTACTCTGTAATCTCGAAAAAGTGTGTAGCACTCGATGAAACATGAATTTTTAATCTCAACCCCTTTTGTTTCGTTGCATCCTTATTTTTTCTGTATCTTTTCACGCGAATGAAACTAATTTCTGAATGATTGAAAAATCTCGAAAAAATACATATTTCACTTTAATTTGGATGGGAGTTAATCATTGGATAGTAACTGATTTTTATTGAAATTTTTCCGCAGACAAATATTGGAATTTGGGTGAAAAGGAAGTAATTAAAAAAGCATTCGACAGATATGTCTAATTGAAATATTACAAGTGATGAGTTTCGTGGCGAGTAGGATGATTTGCGATTTTACGATTGTATACTGAATAAAAGGGATGAAGAAGTAATGAAAAAATATGAAACCTGAGGGTAGTTAATGGTAATTATCGAAATTACCTTCTTTCGTTTCGATTTTTTCAATTTACTCTGAATACATTTTCAATAATTATAATTTAATACTTATTACTAAATTATATTGCAATTTGAAACGAATTAAAAATGATCCACGATAGTTACCACAGTAAGGAATTTAATAATTTGTTATTTCCTCTTTTTTTTTTAAATAGCCACTCTGAATATTTACGACAAACAAACTATTTATCGACACAAGTTCCTTTTCAAGAAACATCTTAAATATCGAGTGTTTTGCAAATTATGCTCATAGACGTTTATGCAAACCGCGTTTGAAAAGCGCGCAAATCGAAACAGATTTCGAAATGTCTGTCAATAACAGCTTTTGGTACTTATGTACACACATCAATCGAGCAGCATATTTAGCAAGTTTCCAATCAGCTAACTTGCCAAGTTCTCTATGAACTTGAACGACTTTCTAAGCGCCCTGCAGATACACGAAACGTTCCTTTCCTTCCAGTCGATTTTACCTCGGTTCGTGCGTGTACATCAGGGACGTGACACGCAGATGTTTAGAGCATTTATGGCTTCCAGTATTACGGGTCTTCGCAAACTGCGTCTACTTCGAATACTCAGTCGCCACTTAAACGCTGATCATAAATATTTTTCACGCAAAGGCGAATTTACAACAATTCGATCTCGCAATCGTGGATGTTCGTTTCATTGAAGTTTCATCAACGTTGGCGAGAACCTAAATTAACCTTGACATTATTTCTTCATTTTTACATTTCACAGTGAACAATTGAGAAAGTCACTTCGTATTAGCGTAACAGTTCGTTGAATTTGTCGCACCAAGTAAGTTTGATCACGACTCGAGGAAAGTTACCATTTCCTGTCGCGTCGAAATGTGGATTAACGTTGATCAATCAAGTGTTTGTTCGATTCTATTTATTCGTAATAATTGTGAGAAAATTACTGTGATAACTGTGTCGAGAAATTTTTAGAACGTTCGAAAAGTTATTCTCGATATTTCGTTTTTGAAGTTATGACGGATCGGGGTGCCATTTTGGTACCCCAATTTTCGTAGTAAATTCGTGTTAGCTAGACTTAGGATTGTACGTATTGCATGTTATACTGTAGGCAATAATTTGTCGCAGATTTATGTATCGTGCGAAATTATGTATTATAAACGACATACTTTTTGGAAAAGCGACAGCACGCGCGAGGAAAATGGAACAAAGTAAGAGAAACTCAAGGGACCAGGTATTCTCAGATGTCTGAAGATTTCTGAGAACGTCGAATTTAGCTTTTAGCAAATTTTCAATCAAGCGATTAATTTAGATTTCCTTCCTCAGAGGGGAGTTTGCACTAAAACATGAAAATTAAATTGAAATTTAACGTAGCAATCGACGAATGTGCCTCGCTGTTATTTCAAAGTACCAAACTGTGCGAAATATTAATATTTGAATTGTGCAAAAGTTTAAGTCATCTCTCACACATTTCGAAGGCAACAATTTTTCTTTAAATTCGACAGTTCCTTAATAAAAAAGAACGCTACAATTTCGAATATTTTAGGTTCAAAATAATTGAAACGTTATAAACACTTGAATATTTAAAAAATGTTGAAAGATTCAAAGATCAACAAATATTGAAAATAAGCAGTTTCAAATTTTGAGGTTATGAAAAATGCTGAAAGATCGTGGCTGAAGCACTGGAAGCTTGAAAATCCAAAAATATATTTTTATACATTGAAATAATAACTCTCTGTATATTAAAAAGGATAACAAAATACTAATTCTCTGTCGTAAAACAAGCATTTAAACAGTTACTTTTGAACGCAGACATAGAAACTGTCAGGAGCTTAATCTGATTACGACCGTCTGCCATAAATGCTAACAACCAATCAGGTCTGGGTTAGGTCTAGGTTAGGTCTGGGTTAAACATCTCGCGGTTTTCACCGCTGATATTAATATTCAAATTTTCCAACGCTTCAACCCTTTCTGCTCAAATAAATTTCTTATTGGACGTCGTTTTTCATGATAAGGGAGATTAAACGAAATAAATCTAGTCTCGAAAATTCAGTGTTGCGTCAGCAAACAGTGACTCATGACCTCCCGCCATTATTCCCATAACCTTGAATTAGAAGAATTAACTGCGAAAAAGGGGGGGAAACAGAGTTAAATGAAACCTTCGTTGGTGTATCGTGTTTCCCACGCTGGTGCACAGAAACGAAAAGAAAGGAATACGGGCCGTTCAATTTTTCAATTGTGCGTACGAAATAATCCTGTTTAAGATGGCGCTACTAATTAATCTGTTAATATTATCGGTAGCTACCTTTCTACGATGCTTCTTACGAATTCTAAGGTTTGTCGTTTGGTCGTATTTCTTCATTTTACCTTCTTCTTTTGTAGAATATCACTTTTGTCACAACAATGGCGATAATTTAATTAAAACGATGCTTCTTAGAAACTTTGCTTTGCTTGTTTAAGTTTTCCTCTTTTGTCGTATTATCGTTGCTTCTTCATTTTAACTTCTGCCTTTGTAAAATATCGTTTTTGTCACAATTGTGGCAATAATTTCAGGAAATTCAGGAAATGTTATTTATTAGTTAATACTGACAATGAGTCTACTTTTGGTTTGTTCATATAGATGTAATCAGTGAAAGATTGTGTATTTCTGGTGTCAAGTTTTGTTTTAATTAATTTGGCACTTTTTAATTTTACTTTCGATCACTGAAACATATATCTTCTTGAGAATGGTGAAATCCTGCGGATGGAATATTGATTTAGCTTCAAACACTGTGTATAATAGGAATGTAGGTTATTATAAAAGGTACATTAAAGAAAAATGAATTAGCGT